GTCCCAGTGCCTCTGCGCTAACCACGGGGGACTGTCAGATGGACTCGACCCCACTGGGCATGGGAAGGGCAAAGTGACCCAAGCCGTCGCAGCTTGTTTTTTAGCTAAAGCTGACGGGTTTAGGACATGGAGCATGTGGGAATAAGATGCACTGCAGCACCCCACCCTAGTGATCGAACCCTCTGCAATGTGTCTGTGCTGCTCTGAGGGGTCCAGACCTGGCCATGGCTGGAGCGGTAGCTGCACTGCTCCCATTTCAGGTGGTTTCCCAGCACTGCCCCAGGGGTTTGAGACATGATCCTCATTTCCGCTTATCTCAGAGGGTCCCACCATCTCTCCTCCTCCTCCAAAAGCAACCCCTGCCCCTCGCAGCCTCTCTGTGCCCTCCTGCGCATTTCTCCTTCTTCAGCTCTTCTCCACCACCTCTATCCATCCACCTCCAGTTCCTAGCTCCCCCAGCACACCGGTTACAGTGGGCTTCTGCTCCCCCTGCCCGTACTGGTTTGACTGGGCTCTGCTCCCTGCCCTCCCCCTCTCCGTCCTGGCATGGCTCCTATTCCAGCACTAATCTCCAGGTGGAGAGGCTGCAGTCAAGAAGATCTCAATGGTGCGGGTGACTCACTCAGGCCCTCAGGATAAAGGAAGCACTTATTAAAGGAGTAAAAAACCATGCCATTCATTACCCCACACAATAAAGCTGTCATGTCAATACTCTGCTGGCTACGCCGGTGTTTGTTCCTATCCCATTCCTGTCCCTCTGTGCATGTGGGACAATGTGCCAAGACCGACCATCCTTATGGATTTGGCTCTCCGGGTTGGCACTGGTACCAGCTGCTCGCTCACAAGGAAAGGAAAGCCTGCACGGCAAGGTGAACCATCTCCAGGTAGGGAGACTTACCGAGTTGATGGCCAGGTTGCCACGAGTATTGACTGGCGTCACACCATAGAGGATGCCAGCCCCGGCGATGGCCCCAACCAGTTGGGCGATCACATAGAAGAGCGTGCGGAGGAAGGAGATCTGGTTCCCGACAAAGAAGGCGATGGTCACCGCTGGGTTGATGTGGGCACCGCTGATGTGGCCAAACGCCTGCACCAGTGTACCGATGGCCAGGCCGAATGCCAGCGAAATCTGAAGGATGCTGGGGAGGGCGGATGGCCACTTCAGGGCTGAGCCGAGGCCGATGAAGACGAAGATGAGCGTGGAGATAAACTCGACAAAGACAGATCGAGCAAAGGCCAGGGTTAATATTTCCTTCTTCATGGTGGGAGCGGGTGGAGGGCGGCTAGGAAGGAAGAAAGTTTAGGTTTCTTCTGTCTCCAGGCTTTTCTGTCTGCACCCAGTTGTAGGGCCATACCTATCTATATATGCAAGAGCAGCAGGGAGCTGTGTTACAAGGCAGTGGGTGGAGCCAGGGAATTAGCCAGTCCTCCCAAATTATCATGTGAAACTGGAAAAGTTTCCATCTGAAAATAACTTCGGAGCCTCTTGGTGAACCAGTGACTCAGATATTGGTGGCATTTCTTTCTCCTTCTCTCTGCAAACAAAGAGCCCCTATAGGGTGTCTCTGTGGTCATTAGATAATGCGGTTGCATAACGATGCCGTGCTCCCTCCTCTGCTTTTCCCTTTTACTACCTCTCGCCAGGTTCTGGGTGTTTTGTCAGGAGAGGTGTAGTTAATATTCCCTTTCTCCGTGTGCTGGCAGACTGGAGAGGACCATATTCTTGTTTGAAAAGTCTTGTTGCTGGTGTCGGGCTGGAGGAGCTCTCCTGGGGCAGGGCTCCCAGTGCATTCAATTTACACGGGATGTTGAAATGTAAAGCAAAGTTAAGCACCTGGAGCTGCTCCCAGGCTGTCAAGACAGCTCAACTCTAGGAAACAAGTGGCTTGCAATTGTCCTGGGAGCAGGGCAGGGTTTGGGGGATGCTTTGCCTAGCCAGGGAGCTGTAGACAAGCCAGGGCTTCCTCGAGGTGCCTGGATAGAGGCTGAATGGGATGGCGTAGCTCGGATAAAGAGGGCTGATCGCTGTGGAGCCTGACTGTGGACCTCTTTGCTGCCTTTCTGCTTTGCCGCTCCTTACAGAGCATCAGGTGTGGGTTGGCAATTGGGGGGTGCTCACTGCCTGTAGCCAGGGAGGGTGTATCCTAATCCTGTCATCTCGGGCCCTTTTCTTTTTGCCTTTCAAGCTATTGCTCAATGAGGTCAATGATTTTGCTCTTGGGAATGCCAGCATAAAGCCACAGGCTTTGCATGGACACAGGCCATGTTTACATGTCTCCTTTCACGTTCCTGTGGTGCTGCCCTCCATCCTAAATCTGTCCAGCTGCAAGTCCTTGGCTGGCAGGGAGCGGAGGAGGGAGGATCTCATCTGCTGTGCAACACAGAGCTGTTGGGGAGTGAGGTTTTGGGGTGGAAAAAGGCTCCAGTGACACTTAATGAATTCTCGGTTCCCTCGCAGTCCTTACAGCCTTGTGCAAGGATTACTTTTTTTTTTTTAAATGGGTTTGGGTGCTAGATCTGTTCTCCTTGCTTGGTTGATTGCATCTTGCCTTTCTGAAGCGATGCCATCTCTCCTTGCCTAACGCAGCGAGCCTGGGCTGGGGTTATCCATGGCTGCCACGCACCTCTGCAGAAGCAGTTGCACTCCAGCATGCGGTAAGCAAAGAATCTACATGCAGGAGATTGGTAAAACCATTTAAATCCCTCTTTAAATTTAAAAAAGTGCTAAAGAGTTGCATTCACTGCTGCCTTCTGCTGGATGCAGTCAGACCTGCACACATCCTGCGGGGTCAAAAGCTAGGGGGGATTCCTCTTCAGAGCAAGAAGAGGGGACTTCTTCCTTCAGAACTGAAAATAAATGAGCCTTTCTCCTCCAGACGTACCCAAAGTCCTGAGCTCAGCAAACAGACTCGGAGAGTCTCAAGGGACTGAGGATCCGTTACAGCATTAATTCCTGATAATGGTTTCCTCCTGGTTCTGCTGATCCTGGGGAAGATTGCAGAGTTAAAGACCAGATCTGTTATCCTAGAAACACCTGGTCCGTTGGCGTGTTTTGGTGAAAGTTTTGCAAGCTGGTATTTCAAGACATCCTGGCCAGATTCCAGCTGGAATAATTGCTTGCCACTTCCCTTCAGCCCTGCCTGTGGCTCCAGCTGGATACAATGCGCCTTGTTCCCATCCTCCAAACCCTTTCGTAACACACCCGCCACAGATCTCCCTTGGAGGTGGTTGCATTTTGCTGGCAGCTCCTCTGCCAAACGCCTCACTTCAGCTAAAAAGCAATGTTGAGCCAAAAGACGCTCTCCTGGGTTCCCAACTGTGGATAACAACCTCCTAGCAAAATCCTCCGGCTGACTAGGAGATATAATCAAATAAGGCTGGAAATGATGGGGAAAACTTCTGGAGAGAAACAAGACATTTCTCTAACAATATGCCATGCAAAACCTATTTTCCCAAGGCTGTTTGCTAGACTTTCCTCACGGGGGCATTCCCGCTTGGCTTCTCTGATGTCTAACCATGTTGAGCAGGCGTTGGGAAGGCTCCTTTTCCTCTTCCCAGCTGCATGCCCTCCAAGGAGCCTGTATGAACTGAAAGTGCCTTTGATGTATCAAATTTAATTGAATTGGGCAAGATATTGAGAAGGCATCACACAGGTCTCTGCTGACAGATGGACACCTACGCAGTGGGGTCATGCACGCCTTGTTTCACTGCTAGGCTTTTGGAGGAAAGAAAACGAGGAGGCTTTTTGCAAGGAGGACAGGTTTAGCCGTCTCCCTCCTCCTTTTCCTCCTCCTCACTGGCATAGGCAGACAAAGAACACAACCAGAAATCACCCACATCTACCACTCAATCATGGGGCCACATGGCTTGGGGATGATGTGCTGAAGGGACATTGAGCCCACCACTGTGTTGGGGTGCAGGGTGCCTAGGTGGGAGGAAAGCAGCTGGTGCCTCATCCTCACCCGGGGCCCTCCCAAGGCTCTGCCTCACCCACGGAGGCGTGTGTGTTATTAACTGAATACGTGTGTCAGTCCCTGTTGTCCCCAGTTTGACGATTTCATTTTCTGAGCCCGCATGGGGCTGCTATTAATTTGTCATTTCCACAGCAGCCCAGATTTCTGAGGAGTTCAACTCCGTGTTGGACCTCAAAGCCTGGCAGATGGTATTGCAGGTGGCCAAATTCAGATTATAAATGCTGCTGAGACCCAGATCAGCCTGTTTTTTGTTTTTTTTCCCCCTCACCTGGCTCTGTGTCTCAACCAAGGACCTTAAAACTGGCACAATAATACAAGCTGGAATAATAATAGTAACAGGAGACAACTCCTTCCACTGGAATCTGTGATTAGTTGGGATTAGATGGCCAGAGGAGAAAGTTTGCTTTAGTTTGTTTTTAAGAGAAAGGGTGTTTCTTGCTGGCTCAGCTTTGGGAGTTTGCAGCAAGCCATTGATGGGGAAAAAAATAATATGCGCTGGGAATTAAAAGTAGAGCAAGAAGTAGCAAACTTTCCCCTCCTCACCCTCAGTTCCTGGGGCTGCTTCTTGCCATGGTGGTAAGCACAAAGCCTCACCACTTTCTAGCACAATGCGATGTGTCTGTACAGGTGTTTCAGAGGCTTTCAAGGATTTCTCTTATCTAACCCACCATCTGCTTGCGCTCTCTTTAAAGGCGAGGGATTACTCTGCTGGCCTGAGGCTGATGGTATTTCCAACTTCTCCTGCCCTGGAGCAACGAGGCTTTTGCTTCCCCTAGTAACCTGACCCAGCTTTAGAGCAACATTCCCCCCACCCCCCCCACCCCAGGTGAGACTGAGTTTGGCTTTGGGGATGTCTCCATGTCCCACAGCTTTGGCTTGAGTTAAGCCAGTCCTGAAGCTGTCCTCCAGCCCCTGGTGGCTGCTGTGCTGAGCTGGGTGGTCACAGTGACTTTGTAACCTGTGAGCCTGTAAACAGGGATGATGCTATTTAAATGCTGAATAGTGTTAATGTTTAATAACAGCATTGCTCTCCTCTTTGCTTAGAAATGACTTGACAGTCTCTAAGGTGTAAATGTGGATGCAAATGCTTTGGGGCTGGTCTGCAATAGAAATGTCAGCATGCTTAATAATTTGCATTGAAATCATCATTAAATCATCACATGGGGATAATAATGTGTATCAGGGAAAGCAAAGGGCCAGTTAGAAAAAAGATATGTACGAGATCACACAGTGAGAAAGCTGGGCTTGAAACCCTGGTGTCCTGATTTTCAGGTCTAGCCCTTTCCAGCAAAGTCACCTGCATGAGCGACATAAGGAGGCTGCGTTTCTGCTCATCTAGATAAATACTTTGAATTCTTACGGGCCAGCAGCTGTTTATCGGTGTCCTCAGGATTCAGACAGAGCTGTGTTTGGGGCAGTGGTGTTTTTCCTCTTGAAATGTGTTCGCCGTGGAAATGTCTTCTTCACCCCTGCAGCCTCCTTTCAAGATTGCAAGGAGCACGCTTGGGAATAAATGCTGAAATGATGTGGGGAGAGAGCTGCCACTGGGAAAGCAATCTCTCCTCTTCGCCTTGGCAATGCCGTGCTGCTGTGCGTGCTGCTGGGACAGGAAGGCATGGAGCTGGCTGGAGAGCAGGGGCCAGCTCTGGGGTGGAAGTGGTTGAGTTGCATCAAGGCAGAGGGGAACTGAAAGTACGACCAGGCTCCAAAGCACCTATAAATGCCATAAATAACATAACACAGAGGAATCTGGAAACTCTTAAAAGCTGAAATTCTCGCATAATCACCTGTCTCCAAGAGCACAAGACTTTGCAAAGCACAATATTGGTGACAATACATGGACAAGTGGTTACCTTGGTGAACTGGAAAATCAGTTTTTCACCGCATTCTGCCTCTGAGACCCAAAGCAAATGCATCAAGAAATTTCTCAACTTAAAAATTTAGATAGTATATAATACTGTCCTGGTTTCGGCTGGGATAGAGTTAATTTTCTTCCTAGTAGCTGGTACAGTGCTGTGTTTTGGATTTAGGATGAGAATAATGTTGATAACACACCGATGTTTTAGTTGTTGCTGAGCAGTGCTTACACTAGTGAAGGACTCTTCAGCTTCCCATGCTCTACCGACTGAGAAGGCTGGAGGGGCACAAGAAGCTGGGAGGGGGCACAGCCAGGACAGCTGACCCCAACTGGCCAACGGGATATTCCATACCATGGGACGTTGTGTTCAGTACATAAACTGGGGGGAAGAAGAAGGAAGGGGGGGACGTTTGGAGTGATGGTGTTTGTCTTCCCGGGACTGGCTGGGTATTGGTCGGTGGGTGGTGAGCAATTGCACCGTGCATCACTTGCTTTGTATATTATTATTATT